GGTCTGATAGCAGTGAAGCACACAATATGACACTAAGAATTTCCCAGAAATCAAAGTTTCCTGTAGTCTCTCCCTTGTAGATTATCCCAGTTCCAGTTACACGTAAAACGTCGCGCGTTGTAAAAAAACGAGGTAAAACTGTCGTAATAACGTGATCTCCGTATAAACACGAATTAGAAGAATCGATTAAAAGAAAGAGAAGAGGACAATACCCCATGCATGTATTGTGAAGGCTAGTATTTAGAATAGCTGGGCTGCTTGTTCTGCATGTGGTTGATGGGCACATTGCGCTGAAGTAGAAGACAAAGATGAAGACGCAACGTTTACTTGCGAATTTTGCAAACAAAAGTGAATAGATTCTAGCATACCCACCCCATCTTGCCCCTTAGGGTACCCCCATCTTACCCTACGGTGGGGGCAAGATGGGAATTGACATTTTCCATTTCTTTCAATTTTCTTGCTTAATTACGTAACTTATGTTCCTAATGAGACTAAATTGTGAAAGACTGATTACCAAAGATGATAATTAAAATAAAAATTCATTAATAAGCTCAAAATGTTTTATTTTATTGAGTTTCAAATGTTAACCTACCCGTCTTGCCCCCCTTCCCCTATGTTAAAAAGTTGAAAGTTTTATTTGATCGTCTGATGTTGATGTTGAAATTACGGGGCGGACTGTTGAAATGTATTATATATGTAAGTCAGTGATTCACGTGTAACGTAAATAAAAAAAAATTGAATAAATATGGAGGCTGCTTTTAGGCGTAAATAATATAAAAAGTTTATAACTATATGATATCAAATGAAAAGCTCATTATCCGTACTTGAGATTACAGGAAAACCTGTTAATAGTTTTTATAACATTTTATAATATACCATTGTTATCCCGCGACTTCACCCACTTGATAATTTAAGTTTAAGTTTAACTGTTTTGGGGACTATACAATGCAAACTAACAATCAAATGTCTCCTCTTTATTTTATTAGTATACTTAATATAGACTTGAAAACATTATAAAAATTGCACATACAGATTCGCCACTGCTAACAAGCGCGGGAAATGTATTCAGATGGTTTTAATTAGAGCCGAGCGAGGGAGCAGAACGCGGTCTAGGCCGGCTCAACATCGTTTGGCTCAGACGGACGATTTTGAATAAGTGATTGTAGCTTGTAGGTACTAATTACGGTTTAAAATTTCGCTTGAATCTTATTTATTTCTGTGTAAGGATGCTTTTATTAGTTTTTTTTTTATATTCTCTTCTTACATTTGGTAAGATTTAATAAGCCTGTTTATGGATTCTAATTCTTTGATCAAAACTACAATCTTAACGCCCGATGTAACCCCGATACGTACCTATATAATTTTTGTAATGCATAGTAATTAAGTTGTGGACAATATCAAACAGCGGAAATTAATGTATACTACAAATCTAATACCTATATCACAAATCTAATACACGCCCTTCTCCAAAAATAAAGGGAAAATACACGGACCTGATAAGATATACGTAACACCTTGTGTCTCAATTTTTTTTCGTCAGTGGCAAGGGTTGAGTAAGATCTTTATTCCAGGCAGCAACTGATAGTGAAGCAATCTCTAATCTCCGGTAAGGGACAGCTCCTATCTTAAAGCCATAGCTAGGGCGGCCAGATATTAGAAACGGCTAATAATAGATAGCATAAAATATTTTGCGCCTAAAGCTGAATGACAAAATACCGGGTAGGTAATCTAATTCTCTAAGAAGTGTTTTTTTTTAATATATGCCCTGATTAATTTGGCCCTGACTTACCTGTAATGCGTACAAATAGTTCGCGGCCAATACAGATCATCCGCTAAATTGGCTATGTCGGAACTTATGCAGCCCTACAAACCTTGTTTTAATTATTCTACAACACTAAGACGGTAAGCCTCAATGTTACGACGATTTGTTTATAATGAAGTACCTGAAGTCTAGATAGGAAGGGCAGATGACCATGTTTTGGCAATTTTAAGAGAATGAACCTGGTATTGACCATTTTAAAAGTTACAAGAAATCAAACACTGACACATGACAGTTGTCAATCTTAATAAATTTTGCCACATTTTAAAAACCCATCACGGTACCTAAAATAAAATATTTATCTGTGTTAGCACGCTTAACAATCGCCATAAAGGGGGCATTGACCAAAACCGGTGGTCTAATATTGTAATCTGTCACAATTTTTTGAATTTAACATCTGAAAGATATTGACGAACTTCATGCTACAACTATGTTACACGTGATAGCAATTGCGATCGCGAAGCTTTTTTAAAAGATAATGAATGAACGATAAAGTTTATTTGACGTTAATCGGAATTGTAGTGATAGTCATAGATATCATTAAAATAACCATTAATTCCGAAAGCGGTTGTGGCTTTTTAAAGTTACACAATTCCATAAATTACTATCACAATTTTTAAACGTTTGAAAGGGATCGTGAACGATTTTAAAATAAGACAATTAGGCCACGGGTCCTCTACTCTACCTATAAACACAAATGATTGGTTAAGTTTTGACAAGTTCAAATATCGAAAATGGCTATCGAGTAATGGTTTCGCTAGTTGGGAACACACTTTTTGAAAACTATTTTTATGTCAGCTCTCATAAGATTAAAATCTTTATTTAACACTGCTGTTAAATCCATATAGGTACAACATTATTTATTAAGGTACATTTCAAAGTCGTAAAGTGAAACGAAACATCGCTAAGATATCGTATTCTGTAGATAGTTATACCTAAAAAGTTAGGCGATCGTACCCCTGATATTATAAGCGAGACATCTTACTATCTACCAAATTATCTTTCTGTCATCCATGGTATTATATGTATTTCTTAACATATTTTTATAGTTGACGGTCAAACATTATTTAATATGTTTTGACTTCGTTTATAAATAACGCTAATTTGTTAGATGTTACACACCCGATTACACTAGTGCCTAGCGGGAGAAAATTACATCGAAGTCGTCGCAGTTTTCGAATCATGGTGGTTGATTTGGTACTGGCATAATTTTCTTAAATTCTTCTTATCAGCCAAAAAACGTGATAGGGAAAAATTTTGGAAGATTCAAAGTACTTCTAAGAAGTCTATTTGAATAAAGATTAAAATATGTGTTGTATCGTGAAAGAAACATTTCTAAGAAATATATCCTATTTATATCTATTTTAAAGATCTACATTTGCATCATCATTGAAAAGACATGACAAATGTGTAAAAAACTATAACAACTGCACAATATACTGTAATAAGTATTGAGTACTAACACTTATATTAAAATATAACACGTAACACACTTGCAACATGGCGGCGAACAAAAACGGATGACCCAACATCATTACGCCGCAAATAGCAACAATAACCCATAAGATTGAGTAATAAGGCGCTAATTAGCGCACGTGGCCGTCCGGTAAACAAATAAGGATAAACAACGACACAGTACAGGCGCAGGCAAAATCCACTGCAGAAAATGAATATGTAAAAAAAACGCTATGTAAAAGATTTACGTTTTTTATTCTTTATTATCATTAGAATTGTAATGTTTCATAATCTCACATATATATAAACAAATTCACTTATTTATCCATTTTCACAGTAAAACAAAAGAAAATTACTCGTTTGGACATCAACAAAGGAGTTTCCACGCATATGTCGCCTGCCAGTTACAAGTTAGTGTTTGGTAGGTAATAATAGTTATATTCTATGAGTTTTGTAACTATAATTTTTAACCATACTAAATATAATCACCTTCCCATGGATGTACGATACGGTTGTTTAGCCTTTCAACCCTCGTTTTTATAATGTAGTCTGCTTTTTTTATTCATACGGACGACACCATTCATCAGGCGCCGTTAGAAAATCAGTGCTTTTTAACGTTGTATACTATAATGTTACAAAAGACATTACTGAGATACCGTCCTGTAGGGCAATTCTGGTAATGTTTAAGTAATAATAGCATCTCAATAGAATCTCACGTACTTTCATTATCTTCAACAGTGCAATGTTTTCATCACGCATCAATGGTTACAGATAGAATATAACATTAAACTTGAGATAGTACGATGGTAAAATGTAAGTACTTAAGATTCAAACGAGTAAACACTAGCATAATAATTGGCCACCCGGTTGGCCCCGCGTAATACATTCGGTGAGTGGGTAAACTGGAGGAAAAAAAATGTCTTACTGTATTTGTTTTTAATGTAATTTAATTTAAAAAAAAACGCATAATTTAGTAATATTTTGATGTTCGCAATATTATTTCACTTTTCGCAACGCCTGTACATTGATCAACAGAATGTAAACGCACAATCAATCAAACATATTTGAAGAAATGGATTAAGAGGGCACGGGATGTTTTTACATAAATATTTTACAGGGCGCCATATTTTATGGGCTCGTTATATTTATGATTTAGCTTTAATCTGACACTACGTTAACTTGCTGACTGGAGATGCTCAGATAAGCGTGATCTTATAACCGTGATTTTGTACTGACGAAATATTTATATATGTTTTTGTATAATCAACTTTTTGTCTGGTCGAGGTGTGCTGGGTCTGCGATCCTGTTGTTAAGCAATTTTATGGTTATAGAAAAAAATGTTAGCTATGTAGTTTCAATAAATACCACAGATAAATACCGATATTCTTAATTTCGTCACAGTTACTCTGAAATTAAACAACTTCAAACTGCTTCAGTGCGTTTTTATTTGCTTTTATGGCACTTTGGACCCCTTACCGAGTCCGTGTTCATATTTTTATTGAATAATAATAATTATTATACTCACTTAAGTGAACTCGGAACCTGTAAAGGGTCTGATACCTCATGAAAGCAAATACAAACGCACTGAAACGGTTTAGCTGATTCATTTAATAAATAGTGCGCGCGAAAATATATGAAATTAGTTTCTCTCATCAAATAAAAAGTAGATATGTTCTTATAAAAAATAATATATTTATGTATAAAAAACAATCAATGGCCACTTTCATCATAAATTGATCTTCGCTACAACTTCGTTGCTAAGGAATATATATTTTGTTATGTGATATTTTAAATCTTCACCCAAAGTTGTAATTTCTGCTGCATCTTCTGTAGTCGGTTCTGAAATGGGACAAAGACATTAAATTGAGACCATTTACTAACGTCGAATAGCTTCATAAAAAAACTAGTATTTTTCCTGCAATTTCAGCCGCGTATAAAGATAGGCTATGTCACCCGTATATCGCTCACTGAATACTACAGTGGCACAACTCAAAAACTATTATTTCGAGAAAACGCCACAACATTGTGGTGGCATCCCATAGATAATTTAAAGAAAAAATAAAAAACTTAACAGTAATAATATATTACAAACGATTTAACTGTTATGCTAAAAAAAAATATTTTCATAATTATCAATATATTAAATTTTCATAACTTCGGAGAGCGTTTCTCGAAATATGGTTTTTGAGTTGTGCCACTGTACTATTCAGTGAGCGATATGATGTAGCTTATAGGTGAATTAATTTCTAAAATGGATCCATCAGTTTCGGAGCATATTCGATGCAAATAAACAATCTAATCTTTCCTCTATAATATAATATTAGTATAGATTACTGCACGCAGAAACGCCAATAACCAATATTTTTGTTTGTTTATATATTTTTTTATTATATAAACTTAAACACATATATCATAATACGATACTTTAAGTTTTTAGCATAACATCTATGAATGCAACAAAAACCTTGATTTAGTTCCACAATTTGAAGTTCACTTGTTTCAAACTTTTTATGTATTTAGTTGTAAAATTGTTGCAATTACACCGACTTTAATAACAATCAATTAATAATAATAAAAATCTAATTTGACCTGAAATTAGATTGGGGGCTAAAATCTTCATAATTAAAATCTATCGCAAATCTTTAAATCGTCTTTATTTAAAATCTATAATCACAATACCTTCCAATTTAACAATTGTCTAAATATTCACGAACTTTACGGTACAACTATTTGACATGTCATCACATAAGATAACGATGGCCACGCTTTTTGAAAGATTTTGAATGAACGATATCGTTAATTGGATGTAAATTGGAATAGGGACGGCGACTGAGTTAAAAAAAATCTATTTAGTCCTTCAGTCAGATACTAGAAAAATATTGAATACTTTTTTTTACTTCAATTTAACAAGATTAATTGAATAAATGAAATTAACAATTTAGATTAGATAACAGACATTAAAGTTCAGGAGTGGGGCTCACTACGTCACAATTTTGTAGAAAATGTACAAACGTGACGTCATGCGACATTTCAACTCGATGTATCGCCGTAATTTAAATATTACGAAAAAAATATAAAAAAACCTGTTTAATATTTTTAACAATCTACCTGACGGACGAACAAACAAAAATTTTTCGTCATCCATATTATCTAAGGTAAGTATTAGAAGAAATATTACTTCGAAAGCTATTGAGGAATTAGAAACGAAAAAGTTGAATGCGGAATGCAATCTTTCAACGTGTTTAGCTAAGTTTGAAAGTAAAAAAAAAAAAAAAAATTGAAACCACAATTAAAACTTGCCTAAACAAACAAAAAGGCTACAGTCAACGTTGAAAACCAAATATACTTTCAGAATACAGTTTTAACCTAATGAAAGAGAGAAGTCAACTACTACACAAGCAACACCTTAGTCAGGATGAAAAAGCTAGACTTACCTATCTATTCAAAACAACCAACAAAGAGATAAAAAGAAATTATAAAGATCATAGGGAATCAATATTTACGAGACATCTAAAATCTTCCGGTAGTCTAAAAAAGGCAATCAAAGAACTAAATACAGGAAAGGAATGGATTCCAACACTGAATGCGAACTCTCCAAAACAACAAACTAGGACAGATGTGATCAACACCGCCACAGAATTCTACAGATGATTATATAGCGCATCTAAAGACTTATACCACGAAGATACAGAAATTTAAATACAACTAGACTAAATGAAAAAGAAGAAACACCGTACTTTAAAGAGATCGACATATTAAGTAAATTGGAGAAATTAAAAGAACACAAAAGCCAAGGCACCGACGGGATATCAAACGAAGCTATAAAACTAGCAAAACCAGTGATTATTACCCCCTTAACGAGATTATTTAACAAAATTCTTGACGAAGAAACTGTTCCAAAGACATGGACTGAGTCAAAAATAATACTGTTATATAAAAAGGGCGACCCCGCAGACGTGGGAAATTACAGGCCCATAAGTATAATGCCATGTTTATATAAACTTTTCGCTTGTTGCCTACTGGAAAGACTCAACAATGACATAGAAAACTACCAACCAAAAGAACAAGCAGGGTTTAGAAAATCGTTCAGCACTATTAACCACATACAAGTATTAGAGCAAATAATTGAAAAATATTATGAATATCGCAGACCATTATATCTAGCTTTCATTGACTATAAGAAGGCATTTGACTCTATATCTCATCGAAGCATTTGGAATGCCCTTTATGACCAAAATATAAACAGTGAATACATCAGAATCATCAAACACATCTACGAAAACAGTACTAGCAAAGTCAAGTTAGAAACAATTCAGGACAAAGAATAGAAATTAACAGAGGAGTTAGACAAGGCGATCCACTGTCACCTAAATTATTCATATCAGTCCTCCAAAACACAATGAAAAATCTATCTTGGGACAGCAAAGGCTTAAAAATCGACAGGTAACGTCTTCATCATCTATGCTTCGCAGATGACATTGTGCTTTTCTCAGAAAGCCCCACAGAGCTCCAATCCATGATGTCAGAACTTAACACCGCAAGCACGAGCGTGGGCCTAGAAATGAATATCTCAAAAACAAAAATCATATCTAATCATCACAGAACTCCTATTCTTATAAACAATAATGTGGTAGAGTATGTAGACGAATATATTTATCTAGGCAAACAAGTTTCCTTTCGCAAAAATAACAGAGAAGAAATAGACAGGCGAATAGCAATCACGTGGAGAAAGTTCTGGAGCTACAAAGAAGAAAAAACCGCGTTGAGTGGCGATCTCTGGAGGAGGCCTTCACCCGTGGAGGGGTCCAGGCGGCATTAGACTAGAGGATACTCAACGATGACCTACTAACATGTACTGTACACATGCCAAATGGAATAATAAAGGCTTTTTTATTTTTTATTTATTTATTTATTTATAGCTAAGTTTGTTTATTACGTTTCTTGATAACGACGCTTGAGAACCAAGACCATCTATCCACTTTGGCGATTTTCACTTTTTAATGCAGTTCTATTAATGGTTTATTTATGCATCTTTCCTTTAATAGATTACTTCAAATTCTCAATAAATAAAGTGTTATGAGAAAATACCTATACTACCTAAGTTACGTGTAGTAATAATTATATGTAATACCACCTATCTACAGAGAACACGTAATTACTTTAATAAAACTAAGAGTTTTTTGTTTGATTAGTTTGAGTAGCTGCATGAACATACGCAAATATTTTAACTAATACCAGCTATCTACAGTCATTTTGAAACTAATGAAGCTTTCTTGAAATACATGTAAACACCTTATTTCCCATGCCTATCAATTGAATGATCAGATATAAAAATAAAAAAAGCTTGTTGTAGAAAAAATATGAAACGTTTTTTCGTCTCCTGTAAAATCGACTTTTTTGTAGATTATCATCAATTCCGACTATTAAATTTATTTAACTATTTAATTTGGCACGTGATGGTTTGGGTATGTAAACATTTATGGAATGTTTTACTGGTTTTGTTTTATATTAAAGGGGAAATAATAACAGGGATGACTTTTGGCTATAAATAAATAGATAGTTCCAGTGTACTAATTTTGAGTTTTTTTTTTATAAATTGCCGTTCAATAGACATGATGGATTATTGAAGAATATTAATCAATTAATTTAATAACAACGATGTGCGTAATCAATAAGTTACAACGATACATCGAGTAGAAATGTCGCGTGACGTCACGATTTTGTACATATTCTCTCCTTAGTTGTGACGTAACGTAGCGACGAATTGGATTCACTCCTCAACATTAATGCCTATCATTTAAGCCATATTCTGCTAAATTGAAGTATAAAATACGCATCTAATATTTTAATATTATGTGACTAACGGACATTTTTTGATTTTCCTTGACAGGATATAGGCAGTTAGAGCTGGTTAATGTGAGATAATATTTGTCACTGATGAAGTGGAGTGCGGCTTAGAAATACTTTTTGTCTAAATAATAGTCATAGTTTATTCGTAATTTATACGAAGAGAAGTATTCGTGAAACTAAAATAAATTACAATTTGCCCTGCAATTCTGTAAAAATCCAAACCCAAATTAGAATTAATTTATGTGTCCGAACTCACGTCATTTAGTGTGGAAATTTTTGTATAAAAATATAATATAAAATTGATTGAATATACGTGTATCAGATAAACTTACTTCACTTATGCCACGAAACGTTATTTATTACCAATGAGGAAGTATTAAAAAAAAAACGAAATCACTAAAAAAGCACCTCCACTAGATGGCGACTCTAGCAAGTTGATTTTTGCAGCAAACGAATGGACAAAAGACAGTCATTTCCGTTCCTCTTTACAAACTTAAAATACTGAAATTTGATAAGTTAGAAACTCTGTACAAAAAAGTACAAATAGAATATGAGTTGTTTATTGGGTTTTGAAAACCAATTTACTTTTAAACTTGAAAGAAAACCGGAAAGGTTATCATGGAGAAATCAAGAACGTGTCGTAGCGACATCTAGTTTGATTTCGGGAACTATTTTTTTTAAATACTTCCTCATTCAAGATGGAACGTATGCCGCTTTTGAAGTGTATTCGGTCACCTAAGTGAATTCTAATACGGGTTTGGATTTTTACAGAAGCGCAGGGCTGGTTTAACTCCACCTCACTGATAGATAATACACAGCTATTGCTTACTATATTCCAGAATTAGTAATTTTATTACAATTAGTTTAAGCGACATCTATCACGTTATTTATAGTACTTCTTTTAAAGAAAGTTACCATGTGCGGAAAACTGAATCATTGCGATTCTATACATCGCCACAAGATGGCGTACTTATTGAATTTCTAAATCTACTGAAATCCAATGAAAATTCATATTCTAGCGTAAAATGTGAAAATTGGATCTTTAAAAAGTATAATTACTACAATTATAACTCCAAAACCATTTGGGCTCAGGTATTTTATGTCATGATGCTTTTTGAGACCATTTTTCTTTAAGATCGTATTCGATTACAAAGAAATTCCGTAGCCAATAGTAGAAAAATTTGGAATAATAATTTGAATAATGATAATCTTAAATGTTTGGTAATGGTATTTTATTTTATTGGGGTTTCCATCACATTGAGGTTTTTAATATTACTCACCCAAATTCTGCCAAACTGAAGGAGGCAATACAGGTTGCTGTGATAACAGGAAGACCATTTTCGAGTCACGTTTTATACCACAATCTTTAGCATTTTCTTTCCTAGTCAGCTCCACTCTATACCAGAATGCAGGCTTTCTAAAATAAAACATATCTTAAACTTTTGATATCAATTATGTACACAATTTCCTAGACAGTAGTATTAATAAGTTTAAATATTTCTTAGTTCGGCTTTAATCTGCATGTATTTAACAAACAGAAATTATTAGCCTGTATAGAATAAGATTCCTTTGTCTTTAACAGAATTAAAAACTTACTTCAAATGTTCTTGTACTATGTTGTTAGTTATTGGCATGGATATTTTTTGTACTGGGTCACTCATCAGTTGGCCCACTGTTCTGATTGGAGACTTCTCAGATACGTAGTGCTCTAGAAGACGTGATGCTATTGGCTTTAGATTAGCTATCAATGAGAAAACAATTATAATATTAGAAAATTTCGCGTTGCATTGACAATTATTGACAGTAAATTATGAAAAATATTCTTAATGAAAAATGCTTAGAAAATCAATTTTGTCCCTGGCACTCTAAAATGGGACTTGAACCCATGACCTTTCGCAATGATCAAATATGATAGAACAATTTTACATCTTTATCGCAAATTTAAATATTTGTAAAATATTTATTTCGGCTGTTTAGGTGGATTGCCTGAACATTGATGAAAGTAAGCTCTGTAGTACCGAAAAAGTAACAAGTGCTTGAAAGATTCGACAGTCCTAGTAGGTCCTAGTCAGTGGTTAGAGCAGTCGCCCGGAATGCGAAAAGTCGTGAGTTCGAGTCCCGTATTAAAGTGTCAGGGACAAAGTGGATTTTTTAAAAATATTTTTCAATATTGAGAATGTTTTCCAATTTGATCAATATTTATTGCAAAATTGATGAAATATAATAATAAATTATGCTTTATAGCTATGTCATCATCATCATCATCATCAGCCCTTTTACGTCTCCACTGCAGTGGCTCAGGCCTTCCTTCCTTATGGATGGTTAAAGAGGATGGGCCATGACTAGTGTTGCGAGGTCCAATTAGTTATTAATCGGGACAGCGCGTGTAATTAATCGGGATTTGGGGTTGTAAATCGGGACAGACAAAAAACAAGTATTAGTTCTAGTTTGGTAGCTTTTTTGCCTTCAGACATAGATAAATATAGTTAGGGGCTTTCAGAAATGGATTTGACAGTATGAAAAAAAATTTTTTTTTTTATAAAAATACTTGATTTTTCGGGACATTCAGGTCCGGGGACGCGTCCCGATTTGTACCAAATCGGGACGGGTCCCCGGACCCCTGAAAATCGGGAAGCCTCGCGTAAATCGGGACACCTGGCAACACTAGCCATGACCCTCCACGCTGGCCCAATGCGGATTGGAGGGTATTAACGACTGCAAATGCAGCCGGGAACAACGGCTTAACGTGCCTTCCGAAGCACGGAGTAGCTCGAGATAATAATTTTTTGGTCACCCATCCCGTGACCGCCCCTCCGAAAGTTGCTTAACGACTACGATCACGGGCCGCGGCGCTAATCCACTACACAACTGAGCTACTCATATAGCTATGTACTAGTTTTTATTTTAAAACGAAACCGTCAATATATTCACATTTATTAAAATGTGACGTCATGGCTCTAAGCGTCATATAACTGATTATTATGGAAAAGGCAAAGATAATAGATAATAATATATAGGATATATTGGCCCGACTAAGAATCGAATGGTATTGCGTCAAAGTAATTGATAAAATGAAAACTGATAATTTCTTACCGAAATCGGCTCTAAGACAAGTCTCAGCTCGATACAAATGCTCCAAGCATACGTGCACTTGTGCAAACTTCATCAACAGATTTTTCCAAGAGCTTATGTCGATTTCATCAGCTATAAGTGGTACCTGAAATAAACATTCGCACTAATTTCTAATCACTTTCAACTTGGTTTCAGCACGGAACCACTGACAATGATATCTGAAAACGTAGGACAATATTCAAGTCACTTAAATGAAGTGTATAATGATCTGGATCACAATGTAGATGAACAAACTAGATATCTTAGATTATTGATTTATAATTTTAATGTATTAAAAAATCATTCGAATTTCTATCAAGATAAAGGTTGGCATAAAGTATACCACCGGCTTGGGATCCAATAATTAGTCGAATCAAATCTCACTCCGGATCACAAATTTCAAAACCAAAAGATTCAGTACATATTGAATCAAAAGAGAGAATTTCTTTTTTTCGGAGTTTTTTTTTCACCAATTCTTCTCAGATAAGACTCCCAAATTTGGAACTGGTGGTAGATTACGGTAGCCAGGGGTAAATAAATAAGTTACATGTATTTTTTAATAATTACATTTAATAAATGTCAACATTGCCATAAAATATATATAATTTCTAGCAGAAAATCTTTTTTTTTTTTTTCAATAAATAATTCCTATAAACGTCCGTAACAAATAAGGTGTTCCTTAGTTAATTTATACGGAAATAAGATGTTATGAAATGAAATTATCTTGAAATGTCATTACCAAAATAATATGTATTATCACAATAATAACCACAACTTTCAAAGTCTGTAGGACATTGTTTGTACATATAATTAGTCGTTATGGAATAAAGCGAAGTCCTTAAAAGATTTTTTTTTAATATAAAGATTTTTCACTTTAAATATTCATTTTGGTTTTGCAGGTTACTACGTGTTTGCTTTCCAGCATCGATATACCTTTAATTAAAAAGACAATCAACACCTTAGTCTTATGTGAACACGGAACCTGTAAAGGGTCCTAATTGTCAATAAAACTAAATACAAACGCAATGAAACCGTTTAAAACTTGTTTCATTTATATTTTTGATATACAAATTTTTACTAAGCTTCTTACCTCATTAGCGTCTTTTTTATCTACCAGCCCATGTTTCTTCAGAGAAGCGAAGTCATCAACAGTCAGCTCATTGACATCATCCACACAGAAGGACTCGCAATCAAGTCTTATAGAATTTTCCCCGCTGTTTAAGTTGTCGAACGGATTAAGAGTGAAGTCACCACCCATAGTCATGTCTTGGATGGTTTGATTTATCTGTTCTATTGATTCGTGGGTCCTGTGAATTGGTTTGAATTTTTGTTTCATTTTGGTTTATTTAACTTTAATGATGGGCCTTAATGTTCATCATTATCATCAGCAACCTATAAATGTTCCCAATGTTGGGGCTCAGGCCTTCCCTGTAGATGGAATCGAATCAAATCGAATAGGGAAGGCTATGACCCACCACGCGGGCCTAATTCGGATTGATGGTTGTTAACGGCAGATGCAGCCGCGACTTTTTACAGGTGCTTTTCGAAGCACTGATATAAGTCGCTTATTAACAGTATCGCAGACAGAGAGCACTAACCACTGCCCCATCGAACTTCTCCTCCTCTATTTCATGTACAGTAAGATAAAACTGATGGTAACGCCAAATGTCGATCAACCAGATTGATTCAAGTATTAAGCCACCGAACAGAAAGAATTTCGTACAAATGACCCGGCATTATACATCTCTTTCAAACATATTGCTGTTGCGCTCGCACAGATGCATCTAGCCAGTTATGTCATAGTAAAGGAAAACTAAAACGTTTACAATATAAAGCAGTAGCCACAAAAGTCAAAGGTTTGTGTCCTAAAAGTGAAAATATGAGTTTCTGTTATATGTTCGGAAAATATGAACAGTTTTAACTTATAAACAATTAATAAAATAAATTTTATAACACTAATTGGAAAAAAATACGCTTTACTTGAAAAAAGTTGGGAAAATACACCACAAATGGTTAAAGAGAACATAGATTTGTTCCCGGTGTACCAGAAGAGGTGTGGATTAGCCTAGAGTACGGTTTACCTACCTCCGCATAAAAAAAAAAGTACCTCTAGCATAACAATTAATATTATAAAGAGGTAAAGTTTGATTCTTTGTTTGTTTGTAGGGTGTAATAATCTTCAGAAATATTGATCCGTACATGAAAACTATTTCCATTACGGGAAGCTGCTTAATTCGCGTTTGACATAGTCTATAATTTACGTGGGCAAAGTCGGGGTAGTAGTTTATAATAAAATTAGTATCACAAATCCTACCTGGACTCCGTAGTCCATATCCCAGCTATATAGTAAGAATGTTCCAAGAGTGACATAATCTTCGTGTATTCCCACATTGTTTTCTCTGTTCCCACTTGAGCTACCAAAGACAGCGCTTGAGGTGGACTGGTTTTTAAATTTTTTAGGACTTTCGTTGCTTGAGAATGGCCACGAGATAATTTTAATACGAGCTTTGACAAATATGTTTTGTTGTTAGCGTCGATCTGAAATAAAAAAATATTAGAAAACATCAATATATTTCTCACATACCAAGTTATATGGCTAAAGTTACAACACACAGATTTAAAAATTAAGTTTTTTTAAATAAATTGTTGGCCATAATTTTTTTTTCGATGAAAGATGCAGGCTCCGCCCACTTGCTCTGAGATGGGGATTTTTTAAGCATTTTTATTAAGAATATTTCATTATATATACATATTCTCTAATGCTTTGAGCTACGCAAAAAAGTTAATGAGGAAACGGACCAGCCATATAGCAAAGCTTACAGATAAAATATAGAGCTACATTATCATTATATGAAACGGACCTAAAAGGTAAAAACAAAGAGGGCAATGGGAGGATGAGATCAAAGAAGTCACCGGCATCTTTGGCTAACATAAGGATCAAACAAATAATATAAAGGATATAAAAAATCAAACAAATAATAAATAATCAGATTAGAATCAAGGATGTAAAAATAAAAAGTAACAGATTTTTACTTTATCTTTATTGGTTGATCAAATAAATAAAATAAATCCGAGACTAACTATTACTGCTACAAAAAATCAATTTTGTAAATTATCCCGATAGGGAATCGAAACCAATGTATTTACGAGCCACTTAGCTAAGGAGTCTGCAGACCAATCAGAATTGATCTGTACAATACTAGACCAATCTAATTGGTGTACTAACTGTTGATATGTTAGCCTGACAGATAATTCAGGGTTTCAGTTATAACACGATAAAAATAGTGTAGTTATCCAGTTGTAGGATACGATCTAAGAAAAGCCGTTTACAACAATATCTGCTTATAGTATGACACTGATTGCAGATGAACGAACACACAGAAAATATAATAATCAGAAAAAAATAAATGATACTCACAAAAGGTCGAATCTTTCCTGATGATATAAATTTAAGTGCTTGTATTAATAAATTAATTAACTCCTCAGCTGTTTCTGAGTCTGTAATCAAAGCAAGTATTTTATTATTTCACAGCAACGTATTTGTAGTGATGTTTCGTTTTAAACACAATACATAAAATTGATTTGAAGTAGGTATATTTACAGTAATCTGTAAATCAAGTCAGCACAAGAATTTGATAAATGTATCAGATTAATTAGACTAGAAAATAATCCTATCCGTAGATAATTTTCTGGCAACACATCCTGGTCAAAGATTTTGGTCTTGAGACACTGAGGTAGTTCGGACGCGAAGAGTTTTCGTTGCTTCCCGAACGTTGCCCATCCGAGCTGGATTCGAGGAGAGATCTCTTTGTCGAAGTTCATCATCATAATAATCACCCATGACCTTCTACACTGGCCCAATATGGATTGGACGGTATTAACGACTGCAAATGCAGCCATAACCAACGACTTAACGACCGCAAATGCAGCCGGAACCACGGAGCAGCTCGAGATAAGAATTTTTTGGTCACCCATCCCTTTACCGACCTTTACGAAAGTTGCTTAACAACAACGATCGCGGGCTGTGGCGCTTATCCACTACGCCACCGAGCTACTTGTCGAAGTTAGACTTGCTTAACTGGACTGATTGCCCTGGGTACACATAGTGGTCAACAACATAAAGGGTAGTGTTCCCAATTTTAACTAGTGTGGGTACAACATAGACATTTGACATGATTTTCGTCTTATCCATGTTCATCTTAAGACCCACTCTTTGGGATGCACTACTGAGATCCCCAAGTATGTTATTCAGCTCTGCGATTCTGCAAAAATCTAGACCCGAATTCGAATTAATTCATGTGTCCGAAAATTCACGTTATTTAGTGTAGAAATTCTATTGATTCCATTTTCTGTATAAAAATACAAAACAAAATTGATTGATTATACGTGTCTCAGATATTCTATCACGATGTAATTTCGAAACTCACTTCACTTATGCCACGAAACGTTATTACCAATTCAAGGTTGAGCGGATGCCGCTCCTGAACAGAAGTTACTGTTCCTTTTGTGTATTGTGTCATAGAGGTTTGATTAAATACAACCTACTTTAAAAGGTAACAACAGTTTTATTTCATGTTGTGTATGTATGACTGTTTTTTTGTTGTTTTTGACATGTTATTATAAAAGGCCACAGAGATATCAATTTTAATCTTAATTATCAGTAGACTAAGACATAATCCATTGGTAAGGCCTTTTTTAATTATCTAACGTTCTGGATAATATACTTTAATCCAGTGTGCCAAATGAAATTTATCAGGACTGGCTACTTGTAATCAATATAATTTAAAAAAAAAATGAAATGGAACTCTTTGCTAATATTACTTAGCTAAGATTTCCATTTACAGTATGTTTTCTTTTAAATTTTGGCGCAAATTGTAAATTATTTGTGTCACGTCAGCATGAGTTTAACGCGAGAAAATTTTAGTGCAATGAGCTATTACGACTTTCGATGATATTTAAGTCAACAAAAAAGTTAAGTTAGATAGTTAGCGACCGCGTTAACTGTAGTATTTTAATAACCCTGTATAATTATGATACTTTTTATTAAATAATGGGAAGCTCCCATAGTACTAGTGTAGAGATAGTAGAATAAGGAGGTAGTGTAGAGGTGGGTAGTGATAAGCGCATTCGGTTTGCGATACTGTTGTTAGGCAACTTTTGCAAGGGCTGGTCATAGGATGGGTGACCACATGTTAAACAAATGGTCCCGGCTGCATCTGCAGTTATTAACTCCGACCAATCCGCACTGGGCTCGCGTGGGTTATAGCCCGTTCTACCTATTCGTTTTCATTTAATGACGATCATCATACCTCTAAGAATATCCCACAACTTGTAAGTGAAGTCGTTACTGGATCCATTCATCTCCATCGCTTTGAAACACTGTTTGAGGGTAGTTGTATCTTCAGTAACGCATGTACAACCACCGGCAGGGTATTCCGCGGTATAAGCATATGTCTCTGTCTCGTTCAGCAGATTGTTGAGACGTTTGGAATTATTCAATCGTTTAGCACCGGAGATTGTGTTTCTGAAATAAGGTTTTTATGTCGGTATTTAAATAATATTTAACATACAGCTAGTTGCACAAACGTCCATTAAAATATTTATTAGTTTAAAGCGACATTACCCATACGTTTTTGACATTCATTAGAGCTTAAAGGTGTCATTAAACCTTTAATGACGCTTTAACCAGAATAAAAAATAACTGGAAACAAAAAAGCAGATTTCAAAGTCTTACCTTACCACTGCCGTTTCTAAGTTAACGGAGCTGTACCCTGCAGCCGTCATGTCAACTAATATCTGGTTTAAATTGTGCAGAGCACTCACAGATTTCCATATTGCCTGACATGGACTAGCTAGATGACCTATAATCACTTCTTGATTCTGCAAACAAAAACATCTGCATTGTTGGTGCTAGTTCATATTTCTATAATTTGCCTTATAGGCAAAGATGAGATATTATTCTATGATTTAATAATACTGCAATTCTAATTCACAACAGAGAATGTTTTCTCTCTCTTCCAAAAATTTAGTTTTACTATGTGGCATTGTTATTGCATTAGCAATAACCCATCGAGTGTATCATTGTAACAATCAAAAGCATTTCATACATGTTATGTTTATAAAGTAATATATTGAGAATGAAAAGAGTTTTGTATATAAAAACATGTTGCTTGCTTCATAATTAATTTTTTTGGTTGCTGTCATAGAATGTGTTTTTAGTCATACAATGGTTGCAACAAAACAAAGATTTCTTGATTAAAAAAAATTTTGTTTTTCGTAATAACTCTTTACAGTTCAAATCGATAAGTATTTAATGAAAAGTACCCACGCTACATTTTTATAAAAATTGATGGTTAAATAATATAACGTATGAGCGATTGCCGTAGATAAAATTACAGGCGTTTGTCGCCGCAACAGAATGATTATCGTTCAATAGCGATAAAATAATACATTAAACTTCTTATTGTGATTTGTGAATTACCTTTTTAGAAAGGCAATTTCATTAATTAGAATAGTCATTGTAATAACTCACTCATAATATGTATATTATGAGTAAAATATAGGGAAAGAGAATTCTTTAAATAATTATTTAATTATTTTATACCAATTAGAGATTAAGCTACAATTAAACTATCCATTAACAATAAAAAAATCATATTTATTTATACACTTGGCTTTAAAATGTCAGGAAGATAATTTTATGAGCTGCATAGGAGCCCAGTATTATTACAATCATGATAATCTAAGCTCATTTACAAACAATGATTTAATACTAATTTTATAACACACTAACTGATTTTCCATACTTCACCTGTGTATATTATACCCTATGTCAACCGCATATGATGTACAATTTTTGAAATCAGCTAGCAGCTTTGAAACCTATTATTCAATGCAAACAATCAAATCTATCCTCTTTATAATATTATATATAGTATATATTTATAATGGGTATAAAAAAAAAATTGCTCACCATGTGTACTTTACAACTAATGTACGGAATCTGCAAGGTTTTCCCTGTCCATTCACAATGCAATTCTGTTAACCCATTTTGTGGTGCATTAAGAAGTTCTTCTGTGCTATGTAATCCATAGGAGATGCCCGATATCAGAAACTTGCAGTCTATTAATGTATTTATCTGGAAAGGTTAATTACCATTCACTGACTCACTCCATGCTTTTTTCAGGCGGAAGAAGGTGGAAAATGACGTTTTCATGTATTTCGTGAGAATGATAATATTTTTTTAAAATGAGTTGAAATGGCATATCGATACAGCCAAAAAACAAAATGGCGACGATGGGATAGTCCTTTACACAGAATGAACTTAATAAACTTAATCCTACACAACAACAAAATATGACATGAAAATAAAAATACTGATCACACATACATGTAAATATAATCTCTAAAATCTTAGCATAGTGCCGAAAATCGTATGTTTTACAGAAATACTTGGAGGATCAAGTGTTTAGCCTAGTATTGTGATATACTTATGATGTGGATCTGTTCTAGTAAATACGCCTCAACACACCTACATGCGCAGCATGACAAACTCAAGAACGTTTTGTCTACACTCAAATGTCACTTTTCTCGGGTGCGCCCATACGATATCTCACTCTCGACCCGAGAAACTGACAAATGAGTGTAGACAAAGCGTTTCTCGAGTTTGTCATGCTACGCGTGCTAGTATATATTAGATACTTTTGAATGTACATGTAAGTGAACATGCAAATATAATCTCTAATGTTTTAGTGAAGGGCCGAATCTCGAGCGATTTAAAGAAATACTTCGTTTGTCAAATATATGACGTCATTGTGATATGCACACAAAACAGATGCATAGAGATTCGTGAAGAATAATAGATTTCAACAAAACAAGATTAACGCCATCTAACGATCGATTACGAAATATATAGATACAAATAAGCTAATAACAGTGCCATCTAGGAATTTGATTTATCAGAAATCATGCGATTTTAAGATTTTAAATCAGAATGTGTATGTTCATTAAAGAGACATATCCTAGATAAATACAGTGCAATCCAAAATACGAAATATTTACATACCATTTCAATGCTAATTTTCTCTTGTACAGCATACTGATCTATAAGATTTGCTACATCTACGTCTTCCAAAACTACTGCATCATGATATGAGACTATACCTCTTGCAAAATGGTGAGAATCAGATTGGATAGTGAGCAGTAATGGCTTGCCATCATCAGATGGATTTGTAACTATCCACATAGGTACAGCATCTTCTATTGATACAGAGGTTAAACTCTTATTAAAAAGGGTTGCAATCTGTCTGTAATAAAATATAAATAATATGCTAATTGACATAAATAGGGATGATGACTACTTTTTGGTTGTTTGTCCGTTACATAGATTAGTGAAGAGTATTCAGCATGGTGATACATTGAGTTGAAGTGTCTTATGACTTCACATCTTTACACATTTTCTACATAGTACTGACATAGTGAGCTTGATGCCTATTATCTAAACCATTTCTTATTAAATTGAAGGAAAAACAATATGTGACTAAAATTTTTCTATTATCTGACTCACAGACTAAATCATTTTTCTCAATCATCACTATTCTGTACACTGTCTCATTTGAATACATTTAGGAATAAAGGATCTTAACACAAAAATTGCAAAGGCAAAGTTTATAAAACAAAAAAATATGAGCTGTAAGACATATTTCTTAATAAAAATTAATGTATGAAAGTCATAGGCCCAGTTTTGTGTAATATGTGGCTTAAAAACTGTGCATAAATCTGTGCATAAAAGTACTAACTATGTAAAAAAAAACAAATCTGATCTAAGGGTACATAATTAGATATACAACTATTAAGATCTAACCTAATCTTGTTTCTAGTAGCGATTTGTTTAATATTAGGGTTGCAGTTCTAACCAAACTTTAACCTACTGCTCTGTTAGCAACTCATCTTTGTCGTTCTAATGTCGTATTTGATTTATTTTCATTTTCGGCGCTATAGGTTCCTTCGCGCCTCCAAATCACAATGTTGCATTGCTAAACAGGGGTATGTAAAACATTCTCAATTGCAATGTGCATAAATAGTAAACAACAGTTTGTTTGTATAAACTACAAGTGCATGTATAAATCATAACTGACTCAACTCAGTGAGTCAGATCAGCAAAATGATGCACTGATCCGAATTTCAATGTTTGCTCCTTATATATCAGTGGATCAGTGGCACTCATTGACACAAATGAACGAAAGAATGAACTGAGCAGAACTGAGCGACTGTTTGAAAAGATTTGGGCTATATCGAGTCGCATGTTGGTAACAGAGGAGCGCACTTGTCGGCTAGCCAGCAGCTATATTTGTTTATTTATTAATTTTAGTTGAGTTTTGTTTTGATCATACACTATGATCAGGGTTTAAAAGGCAAAAACAAATTCTGTAAATGAGTAAATTCCACTTAGCATGCGTATAGAACAAACTAATGGAACATTACGATAGTAATATGAATAGTTTTTTTTGTAGTTCAAATTGTCAGCCTCAACAAAGTATGTAAGAGAATTGATTCAATTTTAAGTGTATTTTGGAACTTCTTTATATAAAAAATTAAAAGTGTAGTAATTTTTTTTAACATATTCATAACAAGATTCAGTACTTGCTCTCTGCATCAGAGAACCAATGATCTAAATGAGCTAAATGATCTAGATGAAGCATTTAATTAAATCAGTTCTTTGCACTGATTCAGATGCCAATGATGCAAACTTTAGCAAGATATTATTTTTGCAGTACTGGTATAAACCTATTAATGGTGTCATTTCGTGTTTCGTTAATCCATACTAAAACGCAAATAGAATTTGATCCATAGCAAATTTTCTCTTAATATGATTACATAATTTTGTAAATTATTTGATTAACATGTTTGAAGTATGTTCATTTTATTTAAGATAAATTATAGTACCAAATCAAATTTCAAAAATTGTTAATATTAATTTCTTTTTTCTAAAAATCTACCAAGTTCCATTAATTGAAACTTTACACAATAGTCTTTATTATAATCTTTTCACCAAAAATTACCAAAGTTCAAATCGTGGGGCCTCTATATTTGTTGTAACAAAATTAAAGACTCAATGATAGATATGCCAATGGTTATCATGAGGATAAAAATTATGATTGGAATAGCGGGCAGGTTTTGTGAGACAATTTGAGATTTTACATAGGATAAAAGAAGTAAAAAATATATATTTTTTTTTGCATTTACCTGGCTTTTTCTATGTCTACTGGTTGGTGCAATGCTTCCTCCTTGTTCCAAATTTGAGGTTCATCTGATATTAGAGTATCATCAAAGACAGTATGCAGACTTAAGTCTAGTTTCAAAGGGGATCCAGTAAGATCAAGTTCCTCTGGAATTAAAACATGTCAGATAATTTAATAACAGATAAGAGTTGAAATTTTACAGAAATAGATCGTAAACAAAATATGATTGAATTTACTAATATCATAATACTATACTTAAGTTTGGAACGAAATTTAATATTAACGTCAAATAATCATAAGAGAAACATATCTAAACCTGTAACTTTGTTGTCCGTTTCTAAACCTATTTTGTTACTGTTACTGGTGCACTGTTTATTCTGGAAATATAGTAAGTAATTATTTATTAAATCATAATTACAAATAAACGAAAATACACTCGCTAGAAACCCACTCACTTTCTTATAAACGAGCACTATTTCTTTTTTGTTTTTTGTATAAATTTCTACATAGCTTGGACTCTCTTGTTTATGAATGTACAAGTCGGGATAATTTTCTAACACAGGTTGCATTAAACTATCCATGATTAAAAAGTTTCACTCAAAAATTCCCTGGTTTAGTTTTAATTTGTGCAACGTTCGAAATATAAATTCGAATTCGAGAAGAAATCCAATTTGACAGAAATGTCAAATTGACAATTCCGAAACGTACTATGCTACATTATTTCAATTTCAAATTGAATTCAACAAAAAAAAATTGCACATATGAATACTGTAAATAAAATTGATATATAGTTTGTTTATTAAAGTTCTGGCTCAAAATGTATCGATACATTTTGCTCATTCATGCATCTGTGTGAAAAAATATTATTGATTTATTCTTGTTCTCTAGTTTCTGATTTCGGAACACGGGCGTTCCAGTACGATTCATTGTACGCATTTACATGTTGGTTTTAACTAAAATTAATAGGTTTGGTATATACATAGTTTTTAGCTCGCATTTGTAAAGGTCGTATGGTGTCAGTTTATTTTATTGAGCTTTTGTGGGTTCCTTATGAAAAAAGGAAAACGTAACACTTAAACTTTATTAACTGTTTGTATAATTAGCCGTCTGTCACAGGTGACTTTCTCCGAAACTACTGAACCGATTGAATATTACCTATATTATAAAGAAATCAGAATCATTTCGTGCCATCGTTATTTAATGCGCGCGTCTGTCATGGCGCCATTTCAGTTTACAGCAAAGAGCGTCATTCCAAACTCTGTTTTTAGAAATCTCGATGCTAAAGAGTTCTTCTTGTACCTACTTAAGAAAGAAATAAAGATTATTTTGTTAATGAGGAAGAATTAAAAAACGAAAGCATTAATAAGCACCTCCACTAGATGGCGACTCTAGTAAAAGTTGATTTTTGCAGTAAAAGAATGGACCAAAGACAGTCATTTCCGTTCCTTTTAACTAACATATGAAAAAACGCAAATTTGTAAAGTTCAAAACTTAGATATCAATACAAATACGAAAAAGTTCAAATAGAATATGAGTTGTTTATTGAGTTTTGGAAACTAATTTACTTTTAAACACGAAAAAAAACCGGTAAGGTTGTCATGGAGAAATCAAAAACTTACCGTAGCGACATCTAGTTTGATTTCGGGAACTAATGTTTTCTTTTTTAAATATTTCCTCATTGCGTAATAATAAATGTCAAGAGTAAGGAGTTTCCTCTGTCCAGCTGGGGTCCGTGGTATTTTACCGACTTGCTACCCTGTAGTTACGTCACTGCGCGTACAAACGTTTCGCCAATTAATTTTTTTTATTCATTGATATTTAATAGATTTCCGGATATATTATATTTTTATTTTTCGATAACTCATTAATTAGTTATTAATTTTTTTCATATAGTGTAAAAGGCAATTTTGATCTACATAACATGTATAACGTAATATTTATTTTAATAAGGATTAATACTGTATTGTTAAAAATAGGTTCGTAAATAACCCATCATTTTATTGTTTTAAGTATACGTAAAAAATGGTTATTGTGGGTTATCCTTGGAATATAGATATACCACCGTGGACTTTTTTGTAGATATATTAAAGAGGTAAAATTCCACCATACAATGTTTTGTTATAACTCAAAAGTTTTTGGCAGCGTTTTCAAGGAAAGCTTCCGATCGGCTTAATTTTTTCCGAGGTATTGAACTAATATCGTTGTAATATCGTCAGTTTGTACAAAACCTAAACTTACTATACACCAAAACCTTCCTCAATAATTGCTCTATCTATTGTGGAAAATCGTATGCAAATCCGTCCAGTACTTTTCAAGTTTATCGCGAACAGATAGATAGACAGAAGCAGCGGGGGACTTTGTTTTATAATATGTAGTGATTTAATATATTATTATAAATATATAATATTTTGTATTCTTTTAAATCTACCCGACAGACAGAAACAAAAATTAGTCATCACCCTATTGTTATTTATTTAAGTTGTAACCAAAGTGAAAACTACAAAAACATTGATGTGGTTTTTCCTGCTAGAAAAAAGACCAACTTAATAGAGAAGGCAGTGTCATGTTGCTTTTGAAAACTAATCTTTTTATCGAGTATTTTTCATTAAACATGCTTGACTATTGGATATGTAACACCATAAAACTATAATATAAGTGGTGATATTCCACTACAGGAGCTTGTAATGCTTTGTAATGGTTATCAAAGCGTGTCTATCAGGCTTTTGTAATCATATCTATCTGAGGTAGGTATTGTGGGCGAAAGATGAGTTAAGCATTTATGTGGCTACCCTTTTTAATATTTCTGAATGTCACAATTAAAGTAGGCGTTTGATAATGCATTAAGTATACATTGATACGTAGGAAATACAGTGCTAAGCAACTTTCGTGTGTGGCCATCATATGATGGTTGATCAAAATTTTTTAAATTGAGTCTCAGAAGGCAAGTCATGCCGTTAGTCTTTGTTGCATCTGATTTCATTATTATCCACGAAACCGCACTGGGTGGGTCCGCATGGGATAAAGCCCGTTTCACAATTTGATTCAAAAAATTAGAATGTCCTATGTTGCAATATACTGTTTTTTTATATATTTATGATATGAGGTCCACCACACTGGATCCGTGCGGATTGTATGTTGATGACTGCAAATGCACCCATTTGTTTTATTACTTTTTTAAATTAAAATAAACAGTTACAAGTATTATCACAGACAGAGTAGAATACCCTATTGGTGGGTGTGTGACAACCGCAGTTGCAGCTAGGAACTATGTTTTAAATTGCCTCCTCAAGCAGATAGAAGCTAAAGATAATAAATTTTTGGTTACCCATCATATGCCGGAATACGAAAGTTGCTTAACAGCCGTATCGCAGATTGAGCGCACCACCGAGTTTTGCGAAATAAAATACAAGTTGGGGCAATTCATTAGTTCATTGTACAGAAACACTTTGTTTACAAAAAGGTAAAAGCCAAACCCAATATTCTTACCTATTACACCTTATTCGTAGATTTTCACATTCTTGTGATTAGAATAAGTGAGATCTAAGTTTAAGAGTGATGAGATTGATTTTTATGTAAGCACACACCATGAGTGTTATCCTCTTAGTTTGATTGGATGTACGTATTTATTCTAGCCCCCAATCGAAATTAAATACATTTGGCTTTTAGTCAAATTTTGCTGCTGACGTAGGTTCAAATCTGATAGGGTTAATGAATACCTGCTTATAAACAACAAGCATTATTTCTATATATAAAATAAGTACTTATTACAAGATTACCTATTTATGAAAGAACTCTCGCTCTCTCATATCGCTGGGCTGAATTGTTTAACTTCAAAATCTTACGCTATCAGTCTTCCGAAGGTATGTATAGCGAAGAATTATGTATATTTATAATCGTATTGGCTCTTTGGAATAAAATAATGATTTGAATGACGAAGGATCATAATAAAAACTTATCTTAAAGTAATATTTGCGTCTAATGCTTGTCTTAGACAATACGGATAATTACTTGATAAAAACGAATATTCTTAATCACAAATGCTTAATAATGGCTCTCTGAGATGAGATTCGAAAATATTTCATTAAGAATATTTTAAGTATAGCATTGTGAATGTAAAATGGATCCAATATAATAATTAGAAATATAGGCACTATAGGCACAAAGCAAAGATGTGTTCAAGAGACTAGCGCGTGAACACTATTTAAATAGTCCATAGTTTTCCCTTGAGTAAACGGACGTTTTATATAGTATATATTATTGTATTTTATATGTATTTATATATGTATATATAGTATTTTAATGTTAAGTATGTCATAATATATTTAAATGTCATGTATGTTTATTATTAATTTGTAGGTATAAATATATTTGGTTTTTCTTTTCGAACTTCTGCATTCCTTAATAGCTGTATTTTTTTTTTTCGCTCCTACGTACTGTCTGGTTGACTGGTAGAGAATGCCCTTGGCATTAAGTCCGCCTTTTGCTGTTCGTGCAATAAAGTTTTAAATAAATAAATAAAATAAAAAATAGGCGTTAAAGTTGTGGAGTTGGGGCTCCTTATGACACATCTTTGTAGAATATTTACTAAAGCGTGAAGTCATGCGACATTTGAATTCAATTTACAAAAACCTACGTACAAAAATAAAATAATTATACGAAAACATGAATATGACTTTATTCTAAACCCAATATGGTGAACGACCTAAGATGGCGGACTAATTCTTCAAGCACTCATATTATATGGGTATCGAATGAAAGCGTTCGCTTGGAAAGTTACGGTTTTATTTATAAGCTTGTTGTCGCTATTATTTTTCTATTGATGTAAGTAAAAATATATTTTTTAAATACTTTATTTCAGTTATCAATCCATCTATTAGTCATTTACGACCCCTTATTTTAAATTACTTTAAAGGGTTGATTATAGACTGAGAGGTCTTAGTATGATTTTAAATAAGTAGAAACTCGATATCAAGTGCGTCAAACATTCGTTTGAAATTTATTCAGTTCTTGAGACTCTAGTAGGAATTTTATTATTTAAGTAAGACTAAATTCAGGTCAAACTCCATTTTCAACCGTAGATGTAACATAACATATTAAACTTATTATATTTTGGTAAATATGAGTATCGAGCTCGATGGCAATGGTGAGCGCGAACGCTCTGCGATACGGTTGTTAAGCAACTTTCGCAAGGGTCGGTCATAGGATGGGTGATCAAAAATGTAATACTCTCGAGATAGTAAATTTTTGGTCACCCTATATCCAGCTCTTGCGAAAGTTGTTTATTTCACTAATCCCTGTTTTATCGAGTTGCTTCATAATAATATTTAATTATTAAAATAGATAAAGATTTAAGGTTCAGATATACAGAGTGTGACATTAAAACAATCATGATTGACTTAAAACAGACGACCTCCGTAGCCATTTGGTTCCGAGCCGGTTTCAAAGTGTCGCCATCTTTCTTGATTCGGGTCAATGGTCTTATCGCTAACAGCGATCGCTGCCAGATAACCATCGGATGGAGACTAAAACAACAATTATAAAAACGGGGGTGCAAACTTATAATAATTTCATACGCAATTAA